GGACCTGAAGCACGCGTTGCCAAAGAGCGACAAGATGAAGGTGGTAGGTGAGCAGACCTCGAACGCCTCCAGTAAATACGTCCTCTTTAACAAATATTGTACTTATTGAAATGAAGATCCTAGTCATCCAAATACAAAAAAATACATTGATTTTGTTTTTACTTCACAACTAAGAGTATCAATGCATAGTATTCCAGCTCCAGCAATGACGGCAAAGTAGTTCGCGGAGTGTTTTACTCCCATTTCCATCTTGCAGATTCTTAAGTCGATTGCACATTTTCATAATCGAACCCGTTCAAAGCGCTTCAATTTCTCTGGTAGATACATTTCGGATCTGTTCATGCACTTCGCTCTGTTCTACAACACTAGCAGTACCATAAGGAGCGAGTAGATAATCTGGAATACCGTTACCACGAAGCTCAATGATCATGTTGTGCAATATGATGCTGCAGTAAATTGCGTACCTCATTCGCTTTTGGTATCACAATCGTGAAGGAATCACAAGTACTCCAAAGCGCGCTTTTAGAATGCCGAATGCGCATTTTACCTCTTTTCTAATAGCTTCATGGGCCTCTGTGAAAACTCACTTGTTGCGTTCAACGGGCTCTACGTGTGCAGAAATGAAGTAGACCTTGGGGAGGGGGGAGGGGGGTTAAATACCACAAACAAAATAATACGGTGTGTCGTATTCGTGTTCGCCAATCTGATCGAAGAATATGGGAGGAAAAGTATAATTGAGGAAACCTTGTAGTAGAGGTGACCGATCCAGCACGTTAATATCATTATTTGATCCAGGTATACCAAAGAAAGCGTGCCAAATCCACCGATCCGCAGATGCAACAGCTTCCACATTTGGGGCACCTTCGTTTCATTGGTAGTGTCCGTGCCAAGCGGTTGGACAGTTTTTCCAACGCCATTGGGTGCAGTCTAAAGCCCTAAGAAGACCGGGCATCCTTTGACTCTTGTTTATACGAAGGGTTTTAGCAGCGTCATCAGCGGTTGAGGATCGTAAATAACCTCACCACAACGATCCACCACGGTTTTGCAAAAAGCGTGAAAGCTATCCATTGCTGTTGACTCTGATATACGGCAATACTCATTTTGTGCGTCCGCAGGACTACCTCTAACTAACATGCGCAACGCAGCAGTCATCTTCTGTTCAGGTGATGCACCCATCTTGCCTACGGCGTCTTCTTTCTGCTGAAAATACGCATTAGACCTGGTTACATGGTGAAGTACGAGGCGGAACAGTTCGGATGGAAGTCTGTATCACCGCTAAAATATAGTCTCATCGTAGACTGGATTAGGGCCTATATAGTAACGCGTAATTGAATGATGCCCTAGTGGAATATCACGCGCTATTGACTTTACTCGACCGTATACTGATCCGCATCGAGGACGCAAACGTTGTCGGCTCCAGCAAAAGGATAGCGTCAACGATAGAGTGAGCTTGTCGTCGACATCCGCTACCGTTCCGAAGATCTCGTCATCTTCATCGTCTCCTGTTCCAACTGGAAGTTCCATTAGGAATGTATGGCAATTATAAGACGTAGGACTGGGTGCTCACAGTTGTATTCCTATTGCTATTGTTGATGGTCCAATCAGAGCACGTTTAATTTTCCGTATAGAAATAGAATAGCCCCCACGACTGGAGATGCTCTAACCGCTCCATGTAGTTTGGAAGTGGGTAGGACCACTTTGGCTCACAAAAAATCAGATGTCGCTCTGATTAACAAGTTACATTAGAGGTATTAAGGACAATGGGATTTGGACAGAATAATGGAATCGGTTGCATCAACGGGAAAGACACGCAAGTTTTGATTACAAGTTCGGACAATGGCCATGATTAATGTCCACTTAGCAACGTCAGAACGCTCAAAAGGCCACACGAGCAAGTGAGGCAGTATGGAGTGCAAATGTCAGCCATGGCATTGTCCAACGAAGCTCAGATAACGACGCAAACACACTAGAGCTCAGATGGAGTCCGTCAATCTTGACGAACCGGGAATCATGCAGCAAATCACCCCTACCAGAGATTGATAGTAGAACGATTTTTTTTTGGCAGGTAATGGAGCCCAGGATTATATTACGTTATAATCCTATAATGTACAGGATTATTGTACAGGATTTCATTAGGATTATCATACCTTTCATAAGTGATTGAACAGACGGGGAAGATACGTCGAGGACGACGAAGATACGAAATATATGATCGTGGGGCTGTAAACAGCTCCCAGGATCCAAACAGGATTTTTACAGGACGGATCGATGACTGAGACGGAGCCAGCAAAAGAGCTAAGTGCTCGTAATATTCCCGAGGGCAACCACCATTGCAGCACTCTACATGTCGAAGAACGTATGAATACAAGCGAAATGTATTAGCCCACTTAAATTCCATCTCTGTAGAGCTCCTGCTGTGTCTTAGGATGAGTCTTACAAGCTAGTTGTAGACTGGTGGGGTTATTGTCAGCAGAATCTTCCTGCGGTGCTCTTCTAAGTGGTCTCGCAATCCATTATCCTGCAACTTGGGTTGGAGGGAGGGATTCTCCGCCCAATTCATCTTGTGTTGGGGTCGGATCCCTGTCTTCTAGAGGTGCCTGCTGCATCTCAACGTCACTAGTCGCTGGGGTATTTTTGATCGGCGCTATCAAGTGTCCGGTCAAGATATAGTAGAAGAGCTCGAATCTGCGCTGAGCAAGGCAGTTGTCGTTCATGTCGTGCGTCAAGCCGTGAACGACCTTACGCATAAACATCCAGCACACGAAAACGCCACAACTCATCTGGTCGAACTGCACCGGATTGTTCTGCGAGACCACGTCGTACTCTGCGAGACCATTGTGCTTTAGGTACGTAGCCACTTCCTTCGCAGCCCGCATGTACGGCTTCTGATTTAAAGGATCGTAGTAGAAGATTCGCTTGTCTGTAACCTTTACAACGATGCAACACCAGTGTGCGTTGTGGAAGTTAAGTGCCAGCAATGCGGTTTCCACACCCACTTCTGCTATTTGATGTATGAGTCGGGCGAGAACGTCACTTGAGACCAGCGATTCTCCAACAGCTCGCGCACGTGAGGTTCTGGTAGTGACAGTCTGAAATCCAGCAAAGCGGGCCGAGGGGTTATCGGCGACGAGTCTGATAGCGAGTCCGCGGATGCACGCGTCCGATAGCCACGCCGGTGGTACGGCTCGGTACAACATTGAATATACCAACTCATTTGAGCCACTCAGCCCATTGATGTTCTTGTATGGGTAG